GCGCCCCAGCCAGTAAGCAAGAAAGGCAGGATAGGCGGTCACCTCCTGGTTCAGTGCACCCCCACGACACCTCACCTCTTGTCCTCTACACACACTGTACGAGCCAGTAGACAGCCCCCCAGAAACTCACGCCGACCCTCTCCGCGTCTCCCCAGCTGGAGTTCCAGACGGTCAGCCCACGGCCATCCCAGGCCTCCTGCCCTAAGCACTACCCGCCCCCGGCACCCACATGCACACCCCAAGTTACAACAGCCTAAGTCACCCCTGGAGCCTCATGTGGCAGAACACCACCTGAGACATAAGTCCCTTTTCCAACTTTTCTTTATATTTTATCTTACTTTTAAATTCCTAATTATGGCAAAGCACACATAACGTAAAATGTACTCTTAAGCATGTTAAAAATGCACAGCTCAGTAGTGTTATATAGTATATTCACACTGTCAGGCAGCTGAGCTCAGCAGTTTTTCATTTTCAAAAAAATCAAGTACCTTTAAAAAATAATGCCCTGGGACCAGCAGTTAGCGTAATGGCTATGTCACTGGACTCCCACATAGTCGACCGTGGTTCGCGTCCCGGACCCAGTGGCTTAAAAACATAGACCGGGCGCATGTTTGTGCGTGCCCAAGATCCGGAGAGGAGAATGGAGGAGAAGGGATTGCGGCGTGGCCATCCCCCCCTGGGGAGGTGATTTCTGCTTTCTATCTCTCTGTCTCTCTCTCTCTGTGTCTGGCGAGCACACGCACCCTATAGCACAAACCTCTCCAAAAAAAATTAAAAAAAAAAAAATTAATTAATTAAAAAAATAATGCCCTGATCCTATTCCTCCTGTCCACAAAGGGAGCTGGGGTTCACACAGAGCCAGGACTCACCGCTTCAGGACAAGGTTCAGTAGGTAAGCCACAGCTGCCAGGGACTCAGGGGAGTCCACTGCCTCCATGGTGGTCATCTGAGGGCCAGAAAGGGGATTCGAATAAATGTCATGCAGAGAGGACAGGAAACAGGAGGCAAGAGGGGAAGACTCCATGCCCAGCAGAGTGGGTATGACCAAGAACCATGGTATCAAAGGTTGGATGAATGCATAAGCACAATTCTATTAGCTGTCAAAATCATGTCATCGGATACCATGTAGCTTCTGGAAACATCCACAGTGTGCCCGTAAGAGTGAAAAAGGTGGGACCAGCAGGTGGCATGGTGGTTAAGGTACTGGACTCCCACGTGGCCAAACTTGGTTCAAGTCCCTGACCTGGTGGTTTGCTTTCTCACCTTCTCTCTCTCTGGTGAGTGCGCATGCTCTATAGTAAATTGAAAAATAATGATTTTTTTTTAAAGAGTGAAAAAAGTAAACAATATTCTACTACCATCATGCTACAATTTTTTAAAAGCATTATTAACGTTACCAATTATCACCTTTTTATATTTTTTTAATTTGCTATAGGGCATGTGCATCCACCAGAGAGACAGAGAAAAAAAGATAAAGAAAGCAAACTGCCAGGTCCAGGCCTTGAACCACAGTCAGACGTGTGGGAGTCCATCACGTTAACCATCATACCACCAGCTGTCCTAGGTATAATTTTTTCTTTAAGATTTTTTTTGGCCTTAGGATTTGTACACTCACCAAGGAGAGAATGAGGGAGAAACAGAAGTGAGAAATTACCTCCCAGGAGGTATGGCCAGGCCCATGCCCAGTCCTCTTGGAATTTTGGGCACACATGCATGGGCATGATTTTCAAGCCACTGGGTCCAGGAATTGAACCGTGCACCAGGCATGTTGTATCCAGTGCCTTAACCCTCATGCTACCTGCTGGCCCTATTATAACTTTGACCCAGCTAACCCCCTCAAGAGGGTCTTGGGAATCCCAACACCATACTGAGAAAACTTTTTTGGGGACCAGCACTTAGCATAATGGCTATGTCGCTGGATTCCCATGTAGTCGACCGCAGTTTGAGTCCCGGATCTGGCAGCTTAAACTCACACTGGGTGCATGTGAGTGCATGCCCAAGATCCCAAGAGAATGGAGGAGAAGGGATTGCAGCATGGCCATTCCCCCGGGTGGTGATTTCTTGTTGTCTATCTCTCTCTGTCTTTCTGGCGAGCGAAAGCACCCTGTAGCAAAAATCTCTCTAAAAAAAAGAAAAACATCAAAAATTTTTTTTCTTTTTTGTAAATTTTATTTATTATTATTTTTGAACTTGATGAGAGAAAGTGAAAGTGAGAAAAGTAATCGCCAGGTCCGGGACTTGAACCATAGTGGACCATGTGGAAAGTCCATTACCTCAACAACCATGCCACTTGCTGGCCCCAGAAAACTATTTTTTTAGTTTTCGACCTAACTCATCTTCATAGACTAAGAAGGAAAAAACAGCCAATAGTGGGGCAGCAGTAAAACACAACACTCTGCGAGGCTGAGTTGACGGAAGGCTGCTAGTTCACACCCAGAGACCTCACAGAGCACAACAGACACATGCATGCCCATGACCCAGGCCTGGCTGAGGCTGATCCTAGACTGTCTATCAAGACCCTGTCAAGGGACCAGCAGTTGGCATAATGGCAATGTTGCTGGACTCCCATATAGTGGACCATGGTTCAAGTCCCGGACCCGGTGGCTTAAACTCACACTGGTTGCATGTGCGTGCGTGCCCAAGATCCCGAGAGGAGAATGGAGGAGAAGGGATTGCAGCATCACCATTCCCCCTGGGGGGTGGTTTCTTGCTTTGTCTCTCTGTCTCTCTCTGTCTTTCTGGTGAGTGCACATGCCCTATAACAAAAAGAACCCTCTCCAAAAAAAAAAAAAGAAAAAAAGAGAGACCCTACTGGGGCTCACTCCCTCTTGCAAATGCTTTTTCTCTGTCTTCCTTTCTCCCTCTCACTTGTGGAAGAAATGAATGAACAAACTTAAAAAAAAACAAAAGTAATGACAGAGGGTTGAGATGATGGGTACCCTGACTGACTGACTTTTTACACCGCAATGCTGTACAGAAAACACCACAGTGCGCCAATTAAAAACAAAACGAGTGCTAACCTATAGCCTGGTAGTCAAGGCAGCTAGATTCCACACGGCCAACTGTGCAGTTCAAGGCCTAGAGCTGCGTGGTACTTGAAATCGTGTACATGTGTATCCAAAATGCCAAAGAAGGGAAAGATGGAGGACAGAAGACTGCAGTATGACCACGCCCCATTGGGGGGTCACTCTCATAGCCCCTTCTCTCCCTCCTGTGAGAGCACGTACTCTCTGTCAATGAAGAGAAAAGAGAGGGCCAGCCAGTGTCTTGGTGGTTAGTCACTGGATCCCTCATGGAAGACTTTATGGCTTGAGTCCTGGATCCAGTTACTTGACAATCACACCAGGTGTGCATGCGTGCATGCCCAAAACCCCAAGGGGAGAATGGAGAAAGGATTGAGGCATGGCCACCCCAGGAGAACATTTTTCCTCTTGCTCTCTCTATGTCTCTCTACCAAGCACATACACACACCCTATAATAAATTTTATTTAAAATTTTTAAAAATTAGGGGCCAGCAGGTGGCACAGTGGTTGAGGCACTGGACTCCCACATGGCCGACTGTGGTTTGAGTCCTGGACCTGGCAGCTAAGAAAATACATTGGGCACATGTGTGTGTGCCTCCCAAATCCCAAGAGGTGAATGGAGACAAGATTGCCAGCAAGATCATCCCCCCAGGGGTTGATTTCTCACTTTCCCTCTCTCTGGTGAGCACATGTACCATTTAGCAAAAACTAAAATAGAAAGAAAGAAAGAAAGAAAGAAAGAAAGAAAGAAAGAAAGAAAGAAAGAAAGAAAGAAAGAGTGACAAAAGAAGTGGATTTCTGCTTTATAAGAATAACACAGCAGGGAACCAGCAGTTAGCGTAATGGCTATGTCGCTGGACTCCCAAGTAGTCGACTGCGGTTTGCGTCCCGGACCCGGTGGCTTAAAACTCACGCCGGGCGCGTGTGCGTGCGTGCCCAAGATCCCAAGAGGAGAATGGAGGAGAAGGGATTGCGGCATGACCATCCCCCCTGGGGGGTGATTTCTCGCTTTCTGTCTCTATGTCTCTCTCTGTCTGTCTGGCGAGCGCATGCGCCCTACAGTGAAAATCTCTCCAAAAAAAAAAAAAAAAAAGAATAACACAGCAAACACTTGCCAAGCCACCTGAGAATGAATGAAGCACTTCCCCCTGTTCGCAGTTGTCCTTCTTGATCTCTGCCCCCCCCAAGGAGCACCCACCTTCTGCACACAGCCTGTATAACCTGCTGCTCTGAGCACCCCCAGGTCGCACCCACTCACCAGGGCAGCAAAGTACTCGGTCTCCGTCTCCTTCCCTCCCTGGGAGCGGATCACCTCCGTGACAGCAGCCAGGACGGCACAGATCTGCAGGGGAGGGAGACAGCACCCATGACCCACCTCAGACCATGCGCACCCCAGGGTCCTCTTCTCCTTGCTCCTTCACAAACTAATCTCCCAATAAAGCCTGGACCCAAACACACAAGCAGCTTCAGAGCCAGAGTCCACACCACAGCACCTGGCAAATGGGAAACCTCACATGTGCTGAATCCCACCTTGAGGACTCCATGTCTCAAAGAAATCCCTGCATGAGCGTGCAAACGTTTATGTACAAGTGTGTTCAGTGCACCGGTAAGCTGGACCAACCAGAGGACCAATAATGTAATCTTACAAAATAATAACAGACTTAAATACTATATAACCTTTGAAAAGAATGAGGAAGCTACATATTTAGCATAGGAATATTGTTCAGTGGGTGAAAAACCATAGATATAAAATATGATCATATTTCAGTAAGCCTAATAATAAAATGTGGATACAAAATATTTTTGGGCTGGGGCCAGCAGATGGAGTAGTGGTTAGGGTGCTGGATTCCCACATAGCTGACTACGGTTTGAGTCCTGGATTGGTGGCTTGCTTTCTCTCCTTTTTTTTTTTTTTAGAGAGGTTTTGCTATAGGACATGTGTGCTCGCCAGACAGACAGAGAGATATAAAGCGAGAAATCACCCCTCAGGGGGGATGGCCATGCCACAATCCCTCCTCCATTCTCCTCTCGGGATCTTGGGCATGAATGCACACGCGCCCGGCTTGAGTTTAAGCCACCGGGTTTGGGACTTGAACCACGGTCGACTATGTGGCAGTCCAGTGACATAGCCATTACGCTAACTGCTGGTCCCTCACTTTTTTTTTCTTTCTCTCTCATGAGTACACATGCCCTAGCAAAATTTTAAAATAATAATAATTAAAATGAATAATTCTTTAAAAAAATATTCTGGGGTAATCAGGTTGGGCAAGGTGCTGATGATAATCAGCTTCTACATGGCTGACTGTGCAGTTAGAGCCCCAGAACCAGCAGCTTGAAAAACACACCAGGCACAGATGCATGCATGCCCAAAATCCCAAGAGGAAAATGAAGAAGAAGGGACTGTGGTGTGGCCATCCCTGCTGGGAGGTGATTTCTCACCCTTCCTCTGGCAAACACATGCATCCTTTAGCAAAAACTAAAAATAGACAAACAGATAACGTTGGGAAACATCTCATTATTTTTTACTATGATTATGCATTCAAGTGAATATATTTTGGGTATACTAAGTTGAATAAAATTATTATTAAGATTAGTTTTAGGGGCTAGCAGGTGGCGTGATGGTTAAAAGTGCTGAATTCCCATATGGCTAACCACGGTTCAAGTTCCAGACCTGGTGGCTTGCTTTCTCCCTTCCCCTTTCTCTCTTTCTCTCACTGGTCAAATTAAAAAATAATAACAACAGGGACCAGCAGTTGGCATAATGGCTATGTCGCTGAGCTCCCATGTAGTCGACCACTGTTCAAGTCCTGGACCTAGGTGGCTTAAACTCACACCAGGCACATGTGTGTGCGTGCCCAAGATCCCGATAGAAGGGATTGCAGTGTGGCCATCGCCCCTTGGGGGTTATTTCTCACTTTCTGTCTGTCTGTGTCTTTCTGGCGAGCGCATGTGCCCTATAGCAAAAACCTCTCAAAAGGAAAACAAAAGAATAACAAATGGAACTAACTAACTAAATAAATAATACTTTAAGAAAAAAAGATTAGTTTTACCTGTTTCTTTTCACTTTTTAAAATGAGGCTACTAGAAATTTTTACATTGTGAATGTGGCTCCCATTATACAACTATTAGACAGTGCTGGTCTAGGAAGATATGGTCAATGACCCACTAACAGTACTTACTTGGAAGGAGTTGAGTTGGGAGAACAACTATCACATCTTATTCTTTTTCACCTTACTTTGGGATCATTTAGAATTTTAACTCTTTTTTTTTTTTTTTTTTTTTTAATTTAAAACATGAAAAACAGGAGCCAGCAAATGGCATGGTGGCTAAGGGTGCCAGACTCCCACATAGGCAGCCACAATTCGAGTCCTGGACCTGGTGGCTTGCTTTCTGACTTACCCTCTCTTTCTCTCTAATTCTGTCTCTGGTAAAATTGAAATGAATAAATAAAGTTAAAATAATAATTTTTAAAACATGAGGATATATAATTGTTTTAATAACTTAGTTTATTTTTATTTATTTGTCTTTTTTAAGTTTGCTATAGGACACATATGCCCATCAGAGACAGACAGAAAGAGGGAAAGTGAGAAAACAAGCCACCAGGTCCAGGATTCGAACCATGGTCAGCCATGTGGGAGCTTAACGCCTCAACCACTATGCCATCTGCTGGCCCTGACTATACATAACTTGTAAATAAAGTATCAAAATAAATGAAATTAATTCTTGCTAGAGAAAATATTTCCTAACCACTATTATTACCATTAATTTACTTAAATAATTTTTCAGAATATTTTATGCAAAAAGTCCTGTGTTAAGTATAGACACAGAGATAGACCTTTGGAAAATATTTCTACACTTTACACTTCAGTAGAGAAGATATCGTTATAAAAAGAAAGTGAGCCCGCCCTAGGAGGGGTTATACACAGAAAGGCAAAGGGCAAGAGGAATGACACGTCCTCCAGAAATACCAGCACTGCCTGGAGCAGTGGGCCAGAGGCTGGGGAAGATACACGACCGGAATCTGGCCCTCCTGCCCACATGGTGTCCCGCCCCGCCCCCTACCTCCTTGTGGGCAGCCGAGTTGGACTCCCAGAAGCGCTGGACTTTGCTGAACGTGACGTTTGTGCAGTCGGAAAGGCCGCTGAGGAAGGTGGCCCCGGACTTGTCGGTGACAGCCAGGTCCGCCTCTTCTTCCATGGCCGGCTCGGGGCCGTCGCTCTTGCCCAGGCGCAGGGACCCTGACTGTAGTTCATTGTGCAGCTTCACGGCATCCACCGTCAGGTCGCTCTTTCCTGCGAGCGGAGGCACGGGTGAGGCCCCACCTCCGCTCAAACCTGTGTCCCCCACCTCCACCTAAACCTCCCTGTGGCCGAGAGCGCGAAACGACCCTTGGGAGCCGACCAGCCCAGGCCAAGCCGGCAGTTCCAAACACGGCCAGCCTCGCCAGCCCACAGTGCGCCCGCAACTCAGGACACCCAGCAGAAAGGCCGCCTTCCGTGGAGACGAGGCTCCCCGCTGCAGAGGCTGCGCGCGGTGAGACCCGGCGGGGAGCCACATTCAGGGGGCCTGCGACAGACGCTAGGGCGACAGCGCTCAAGGGCCGGAGGCCACTTTCGGCCCGGATCCCAACTCCGACACCGCGGTCTCCACCTCGGAAACGGGAGGGTGGGCCTGCGCCGCGGGCTCCGGGGCCTCCTCTGGAGGCCGAGACGAGAGGCCCCACGCCGGGCCCTGCGCCCTCCACAGGCCGCGGACGCCCCCGGCCC